ACCCCGCCTTCCCTGGCGGCCCCTCTCCACCCTGCGTGCGGAGGGGGAGAAGGGTCTGCGAGGGGGGTGTCTGCCTGGTCGAGGCAGGCGCCGAGGGTACCAGCTCCGCCGTGAGCGGCGCGGCGGGTGTGGCCTCCTGTCCTCCAGGCCCACCCGAGGCGCGGCGGTGGCGGCGTGGCGAGGCGGCGCCCCCAGGCACTCGGCCAAGGGGGCGGAGCGGACCTGAACCCGCCATCGTGGAGGACTGAGGGACTGTGGGGTTCACCGGGTTCCCACTGCTGGGAACCCCTTCGGGTACTTGGAGCCCTGTGCGGCTGTGTCTAATCTGCTCCTCCTCCTCCTCCTCCTCCTCCTCCTCCTCCTCCTCCTCCTCCTCCGCCTCCGCCTCCTCCTCCTCCTCCTCCTCCTCCTCCTCCTCCTCCTCCTCCTCCGCCTCCTCCGCCTCCTCCTCCTCCTCCTCTTCATCCTCCTCCTCACCCGCCTCCCAGCTCCTCCTCCCGCCTCCCTTCTACTCTGGTCCTTCTCCGCCTTTCTTCGACCTCCTGATGAAATCAACGTGTTTGTGAACGGAGCGAACCCTCACAGAAATCTGAAAACTGAGAGACTTAACTCCAACGCAGGATGCTATGACCATGAAAACTGATCCCTTCCCTCGTCCTCCGTCTCGTCATTATGATCCTGATCCTCTTCCTCCTCCTCCTCCGCCTCCTTCTCATCATCATCATCATCATCATCATCATCATCATCATCATCATCATCATCATCATCATCATCAGCAGCAGCAGCAGCAGCAGCAGCAGCATCAGCATAAGTGCCATCATCATCAGCATCATCGTCATCATCATCATCCTCCTCCTCCTCCTCGTCATCATCATCATCATCAGCAGCAGCAGCATCATCATCAGCAACAGCACCATCATCATCATCATCAGCATCATCATTATCATCAGCATCATCATCATCACCATCATCATCAGCCTCATCATCAGCCTCATCATCAGCATCATCATCGTCAGCATCAGCATCATCATCCGCATAATCATCATCAGCATGATCATCATCATCAACATCATCATCAGCATCAGCAGTATTATCGCCATCATCATCACCACCACCATCATCATCAACATCAGCAGCATCAGCATCAGCATCAGCATCATCATCATCATCACCATCATCATCACCATCATCAGCAGCAGCATCACATTCTACATCAGCAGCAACAGCAGCATCATCAACATAATCATCATCAGCATCGTCGTCGTCATCATCATTACCATCATCAGCATCATCATCAGCAGCGTCAGCATGAGCATCAGCATCAGCATCAGCAGCGTCATCATCATCAGCAGCAGCATCAGCATCATCATCATCGTCAGCAGCATAATCATCAGCAGCAGCAGCAGCATCATCATCATAATCAGCATCAGCAGCATGAGCAGCATTATCATCATCAGCAGCACCATCATCAGCTTCACCATCACCACCACCACCATAACCATCATCAACATCATCAGCAGTAGCATCATCAGCATCATTATCATCATCGGCATCATCTTCATCTTCATCTTCATCAGCAGCAACATCATCATCAGCAGCAGCAGCAGCAGCAGCACCATCATCATCATCATCATCATCATCATCATCATCATCAGCATCATCATCATCATCACCATCACCATCACCATCACCATCATCATCATCCGCAGCAGCACCAGCATCAGCATCATCATCAGCAGCAGCAGCAACACAAGCATCAGAATCATCATCACCAGCCTCAACATCACCAGCATCATCATCAGCATCATCATTCTACTTCTCTACCCCCCCATCCTCCGTCATCTCTGCTCCTCCTCCTTGTCCTCCTCCTCCTCCTCCTCCTCCTCCTCCTCCTCCTCCCCCTCCTCCCCCTCCTCTTCCATCCTCCACCTCCTCCTGAGATTATTGGCCGTTTGGGATGCCGTCCTGCGCGTCTGAAACCGTCCAGAGACCCCCACCGCATTTCCTTGGTAGATAGCTCCCCCATGCCACACCACCAAACATGTCCGTCGGCCTGGCCAAGCGTTTCACTTGAGATGCCCTTGCAGCCTACGAACCCGAATCTTGAGATTTCCATCATTAGACCGGATGGAGGGCAGCCCTTTACAAAAAAAACACTTGCTCCGAGGCCGCGCATACTCGTCTCAAAAGCTTCCAACGGTTGCAAGGATTCAAGGCAGGTCGTCTTCTGATCGTGGCTCGCGCATAGGCGCCGCGCGCAATGGCCCTAAACCTTCAACGATTGATACGGATGGAGGGCGGTTCCTGTTCAAATATGGGCTCTCGCCTGGGCCCCCTGGTGAAGGTCTGCAACGATGTGTAGCGCTTCCGATAGAACAGGATCAAGCTGAGATGGAGTGGAAATGGTGCCGACTCACAGGCAAGGTACGATCGTTTATGCTACCCGATGCGCACGGTGGGCGCCACAAGCCCAAAAGCCCTGAAACGGCGATGGTAAAGACGGACCAGACCAGCACACGGCAAGGATGGAAGAGGACCGAGGAAAAGAGAGACGAAGCGATTGATACGTAGCAAAATTGCACGCACCATCATTTTCCACGCTCCAAATATCCGATATGAGTTTTCGCACTCAAAGATGAAAATATAAGGTGCTCACAGTCGCACACGCGCTCTGAAGTCGGATATCTATCAAATGAACACGAAGTGGGCCAAGTCTGGCATGATCCCTAACAAGAATCAACTCAGAAAACAAGGGATCTGGTAAGCAAATGCTGGCTGGTGCGAACACTCAACCAGTTTGGGGAAAGGAACTCGCGTAGCTGGTGAGGTGGTTCGACTTTCGTCAGATCCTCAGAAGCCAGCCTGCCTGTCGGAACACAAAGCATTGTCCGGTTTGTGTTCTCACCGTCAAATTCGTATGTGGCGTGTGCAACAGCTGCAATATCAATGCTCAAGCGGCGCTCCAAAAGTGTTGGAAAGGGTCCCCTCCTCGAACAAAATACCGCACTGTGATTTGCAAGCGATCACAACCTTGATAGGCATGGGGGAAAAACACTTTCCGGATAGGCGAGGATGGCAAGCCCCAAAGAGAACGGCAAAAAGATGTTTGAAGTAGGCAGTGCCAACGCATGCATCCATGGCCGTCGCTTCAGCTGCTAGGGCACTGCGGACTGCTCACCGGGGCGCGGCGGGATCGCAAGTTAATCAAAGACGCTGCCCCACAGCCAACAGCCAGACAATCAAGATCGGAACAGAAAACCATCAAGCCAGCCTGACTCCGATTATATCGAACGTTCACTCAAGCTTCATTCGAAAAAAAGGCACGAATGCAGCTCGGGCGAACCCAATCGAACAATCATCTAAAAGCGATCCTTGGTAAGTTATCTCAAGATATTCGCTGCATGCGGTTGATGCACACGAAGTGATGGCGG